GGGCAGTAAGCAGTAAGTTTTATCCCTTTGCTTATTCTATGCAAAATAACACAACTGAATTTTTGCAACCATATGCTGCATTTCAATGTGAAAGAATGTCTTGTAGTGCCTTACTTTAGCTGTAGTTGACATAGCTCCTGCCATCTTCATCTGAGAGTTCATGACCTTTGTTTGAGTCGACATAGAAGTCACTTTAGAGCTCACAGCGTATGTTCGATTTTTTTGCTTCCTCAGCTGTACAAGCTGTTTTGCTAACACCTTACAGGCTTCTTTGTTACCAGTCTTAGCCATTTTCTTTATTTCCAGTTCCTGTTAAAAAAGGTGTAAGATTAATTCTACAGAGTTTTCATTCAAATAAAGATTATAATTAAGGCTTAAGATTAATAATTAAATCCCAGAAGTTAACTACTCTCTAGAATTTTTTAAGACATTTAAATTGATATAAATAGTTCCTTGCTTTTCTGCCAAGGCTAGTTAGCACAATTAATGTAATGCTGTTATGATTTGACCACAGGGGATAAACACAACAAAACTGAATTATAGTGTGGTAGCACATGGTTCCCCCAAAGATTTCAACTTCTGCATGACGTCACGTTCACTTACATATGCACATTCAGATCCATATCGGGATAGGGAGCAACACTTAAAAAACTAAAAAAGCCACAAAAAGTGAAGAAGTTGTTGTGGCCAGTCAGCTATTAGTGCCATGACTCAAATCATCTTTGACTTCTCACATTCACAGGCAATCAAACCACATTACTCATGTAAGGTACAGGGTACTTAGGTCCTTTTCCACACTTTTTCAGCCTCTAAGAGAATCTCAAAACCTTTTTGGAGGTGAAGTAGATAAAGTTAGATGAGTTATAATTACAAGCTGTTTACCCTCATAATTTAGCTGGACTTTTATTATGTTTTAATTTAAATGGTATAATTTGCCTACAACAACATATGTTTATACTGTAAGAGAGACACTTCTGGCTTATAAAAAAATCTCAAACCCCAATCTGTCAATTCATGGGGAAGTAAGAAGCTATTTAGCCCAGAGGTAACAGGAAAAAGTCTGGCACAAATAATCTTGTCAGCTGGGATTTTTCAAAGTATGCCTTCTAATTTGTGACTTGGTGATGTAAACTTTGCAACTACTCTTTCCTTTTCAGCCTTTTTAAGGAGGTCTTCCCACAGTAGCTCAGTTTCCTGTGTATGTCCATTTCTACATTTCCATTTTTACCATTAAGTAAAAGCAGCCTTTTAAATACCAGATTTCCCCTGTGATCCTTCAGGAGAATATGCCCAGTACAGGAATGCAGTGGTTTCACCTTATGTGCACTGGTAATTCAGAAAACTGCATTTGTAAGATATCTAAAGATAAATATATATAT